TCGACGCTGCTTCACAGACTTGTTTTACGGGTTCCGAAAGCAACGTTAGACATTCTGAGAGCGTGCGCGGAGGACCTCTTTCGGGCGATTTTTGGTCTCGAATTAGATTGTGGAAAGCTGTGGCGAAGGAAATCACTCGGAACAGGTGTCTACCAGCCAGAGCACCCGTGGGAGGTGAGAGAACGGCTTCTTGTGCACCAGCCAGAGGACCTGTGGCCAGAGGACCCGTGGGAGGTGAGAGAACGGAGTCTTGTGTACCAGCCAGAGGACCCGTGGGAGGTGAGAGAACGGCTTTTTCGATGCTTCCGAGGCGTTTCCGTGACAGCCGGCGGCTTGAAGCGTTGCTGAAGGGTCGAAAGCGGAAAACAGGGCGTGCTCGACGCTGCTTCACAGACTTATTTTACCTCTTTCGGGCGATTTTTGGTCTCGAATTAGATTGTGGAAAGCTGTGGCGAAGGAAATCACTCGGAACAGGTGTCTACCAGCCAGAGGACCCGTGGGAGGTGAGAGAACGGCTTCTTGTGCACCAGCCAGAGGACCCGTGGCCAGAGGACCTGTGGGAGGCGAGAGAACGGCTTCTTGTGTGCCAGCCAGAGGACCTGTGGGAGGTGAGAGAACGGCTTTTTCGATGCTTCCGAGGCGTTTCCGTGACAGCCGGCGGCTTGCAGCGTGGCTGAAGGGTCGAAAGCGGAAGACAGGGCGTGCTCGACGCTGCTTCACAGACTTATTTTACGGGTTCCGAAAGCAACGTTAGACATTCTGGGGGCGTACGCGGATGTCGTGTGCGTCTGCACTGTTGTGTGCGTGCGTCTGCACTGTTGTGTGCTAATAGCTGCTACCTCCATTCCTATAAATTTGCCACCGTGACCGCTGTCGTGTGCATCTGCACTGTTGTATGCTAATAGCTGCTACCTCCATTCCTCTAAATTTGCCACCGTGACCGCTGTCGTGTGCGTCTGCACTGCTAACAGCTGCTACCTCCATTCTTACAAGTGTGCGTCTGCACTGCTAATAGCTGCTACCTCCATTCCTCTACATTTGCCACCGTGACCGATGTCGTGTGCGTCTGCACTGCTACCTATAAATTTGCCACCGTGACCGCTGTCGTACGCGTCTGCACTGTTGTATGCTAATAGCTGCTACCTCCATTCCTCTAAATTTGCCACCGTGACCGATGTCGTGTGCGTCTGCACTGTTGTATGCTCATTGCTGCTACCTCCATTCCTATACATTTGCCACCGTGACCGATGTCGTGTGCGTCTGCACTGTTCTGTGCGTGCCTCTGCACTGTTGTATGCTAATAGCTGCTACCTCCGTTCCTCTAAATTTGCCACCGTGACCGATGTCGTGTGCGTTTGCACTGTTGTATGCTCATTGCTGCTACTTCCATTCCTATAAATTTGCCACCGTGGCCGATGTCGTGTGCGTCTGCGCTGTTGTGTGCGTGCGTCTGCACTGTTGTATGCTAATAGCTGCTAACTCCATTCCTATAAATCTGCCACCGTGATTGCTGTCGTGTGCGTCTGCACTGTTGTACGCTACTAGCTGCTACCTCCATTCCTCTTAATTTGCCACCGTGACCGATGTCGTGTGCATCTGCACTGTTGTATGCTACTAGCTGCTACTTCCATTCCTATAACTCTGCCGCCGTCGGCGATCTCGTGCCTTATCCCCGGGGTCGGCGGCAGGGGGCGGAGCCCTTACAATATATATCATACAGAATCATACATCGAAAAGAAGTGATCACCAAAGTGAGCATAGTGTGTTAAAGCACAATGCCTGAGCATGTGCCGCCAATTGAATGGGGCCTTGTTCTTGACTCTCAACAATATGGTTGAAGGAATCCCCTTGGTTTCCTCGGCGGCAGAGGATTGCAAGTCACTTGCAAAATAGCTGACTTGATAAACAGTGCCCAAAGACACCTAAAGAAAACATGGGTGTCATGTGTCAACACAACAAACCTGGGATCTGCTGTCAGTCGCAAGTCCATGGGCTGGACATACTCAACTGTCTGGACTCTGAACGTACATACCTCAACGACAGACACACATCTCCAAGTCCCAGACTCCTGGCTTCACATAGCCTTCTTGCAAGCCGGTGGTCACTGCCTGCCATGCTTAAAGCAAGTTTGCGTTTAACAACAACAACAACAACAACAACAACAACAACGAAAGGGACTGGCGCCGGCACAACAACTGGAAGGCTGTGTGTGGAACAAATTCGCTTGGAACAACTTCGCACATCCAGAGATTCGTCAATGACAATGCCATCTGGCTTCGGTGTACCAGCCCTCTGCACGCTTTTGGTAGAGCCCTCAGCATGGCACATCCGCGTGGGGCAGAATCAGGTCCAATCAATTCGCAGGGGAAGTGTTCGTGCATGTTCGTGCCCTTTTTGAGCACAGTCCCGCACCCGTCTAGTTTGGAGCAAGAAAACAGGGCTTCAAGCCCAGTTCAGCGTTGCCCTCAAAACCTCCATGATCGCATATGATCGTGTGTTTTGCTACATAGCCTACTCAAAGGGCTTTTGATAGGCGAGCCACAGCCCGTTTGGGTGGGTTGGCCAGTGAGCCGGGCTAAATCTGGGGAAGCCGAACCGGCCAGTTCTTGCGGACGCACCACAGGGGGTTCGGCTCATCTGGCTTCTCTCTTGGGGAGGCCGACTCGCTTCAACCAGGGTGTATTCATGTCCCAACACCCAATGTGATGTTCGTGTGAACCGGAGTCCGAAGGGGTGGCTCCAGGGTACTGATGAGCATCAAGTTCATTCAAAATTGAACGTCTCATAGACTTCTGGAGCCCCTTGTCCCAACGAGACACTCATCCCCTGCGTCCGCAACGGTGCTTCGCTTGGCCAAGCGTCTCAGAAGAAAAGCGGGTCGCAGCGCATGCGCCTGTGCCAACACCTCGGAAGTGTTTTCTTCACGTGCCAAAGGATATAGTGAATAGTGCGAGTAGTGACCCAAACACCCTGGCACGAGTCAAATACACTAAATCCGGGGGGCTCCTCATTTTCAGTCATGCCCATGTCAGCAGCTTGGATCAGCACTAGGTTGAGCAAGATCAAAGCGCAATCATCACGATACTAAACCAGCAGGTCTGGAGTAGATCCACGAAACTGCTAGCCAGGCAAAGGTTTCATGAAAAAGGAAAAGATCTCATGTGTACTGATGTGCTTCAATTCTAGAATGTGTTTCAATCTCTTTTTAAAAGTACGACTCCTCTTCCCATGAACATTTAGTTCATGTCCTTTCATGTCCCTCTTCTGCCTGGCTCAATCTCATCAGCTCTGACCAGTTGGCGAGAACTTCCTCGACCTATCACCCGGCGGAGGCGGAAAACGCACCACGAACGGTGACCGTCCAGGACGACCGGCTCGACGTTGAGTCGGCGTAGGAACTGACTCGGGGAGTCGGGAGTCCCACGTGGTTCGGTGAAAAAACATCTCCAAAAGAAACTGACGTTTCCTGATCTCAATGATTTGGAGCTTGTGATACAACGATAGCGACTGCGTATTATCCCAACTGCATATGGACATATGTCTCGTCACGTCGTCAGTCCTTCACTCACGGCGCTCGACAAGTGGTGGAACACTGCCACTGGGACATCAAAGGGGATTGGTTGTTGCGGGTCGGTTGGCATTTTGCTTAAAAGCCCAACTGCCCCAATCCGGTTGACACAAAGACCATCGAAGCAAACCCCAGCTTCTGCACGCCTCCTTGTGGTTCTTTGCTGCCAAGGCTTTGGAGAGCCCTCTCTGAGACCGTCGGCAGGCCAAGAACCACAAGAAAGGCGAGGACAAGTCTCTGAGAGACAGCTCTTCCCGAGGAGGCCTCCTGGAGTCGACCCCGGCACGAATACGAACATGCTCAGCGCGAATACGAAGTAGTAGTGCGCGTGTGGAGGATTTCTGGAGGCCAACTCTCAATGTTGTTGTTTCCTTTCAGGGTCTGCCTATCTTTTCACTATCAGCCCTCTGTAGTCCGCTGGAATGAACTTTGTTGACCCCAACAGCGGAGTCTGCGCCAGATCATAACCTCCATGCATGAATATCGGACTATGTAACATATTGTTGTCGCAGCTTTTGCAGCAAGACGGAGCGTGAACGCTCCCGCAGACAGTGACATCGTTGCAAATCCCATGGCTTCTTCTCCTGGCCGTCACCACCTCCTCAAAAGTATTGCGACGAGACAAGACTTGTCGCACCAGCGCAGCCCCATTCAATACGGCATTGAAGCCAGGCGCACGGATCATAGGCGGCGGAATCTCAAACTCTAAACGGAGAACGGAAGACAATAGTGAAGTTGACCTTTGGCCAACTGCCTTTGCTTATATTGCTAGTGTCAGTTCCGATGAGGCTCTGCAGTTGCTATCTCTCTCTCTCGCTCTCTCTCCCCCTCTCTCTCTATCGGTCTCTCTCAAGCCAATACTATCATGTCCCTCTGATGAGGCTAGCAGTCCAGGAGTGCAATCGCAGGACCAGACATTGAACCTCGCTTCATCATATGGGCGATGCTTGGACAAGCTTCATCTTCCTATCTAACTGGTGATGCTCAGCGGTGTCCTTCGTAGCGAGATTTCACTACAAAACTTCGGCTTTGAACCCAAATGACCCAAGTACTGCAACAACTCACAGGTATTGCTTCCACTGGCTGACTCATTTTGTTCACTAGTCCCTTTGCTCGAAAGAAAACAAATGACCCAAAGAATGACTCGCAGGCGTCAGTCTGCTTCCTTCTCTCTAAGCTGATTGCCACCAAGTGTTATCTGTTGTGACACCCTTGTCATGCGCCATCGCAACAAGGGTCGCTTCCTTTTCATGAGCTAACGCTGTGCTTGCACACGGGGCATGTCTGACCTGGGCAGCCGATTCCGACGGGAGACTTCAATGGGTCGGTCACGGCTGAGGCCGACAAGGTTGCTTCCCGAAGAAGCAAAACCAACCGACCGCCGACCGGTCGGGAGGTTATTGGTCACCTTAGGTCTGGTGCAGTTATTGCTGTATTTTTTAACAAATATGTATATAAATTCACACTCAAATTGCAATCAATCAAACACACCTTTTAACGATGTTCCTTTCCATATCATTCCATATCCATAATTATAGATGTATACCCCTGGATGTATACTGTATGTTTATACGGTTGATATGAATATTGTATATTGTGATAAAGTGATACTATCATAGTTTCTTCGTTAACATCAAAAGTATTCATTTAAACATAATTCTTATATATGTGAATTTGTTTCTGTCTGTTTTACTGAAACAAAAGGTTATGAACTTTTGTATGTACTTACATGAAACATGTTTTTGTATTGCAAGGGAAAGAATGATGAAGTATTACAAACATTGGTATCAATACTGGTAGTGTTGATAATGTATGTTTTCAAATTTAGTATTGAGAATATGTGGATGTTCTTTTTGGATGATGCGGAAATTATTCAAATTAATACTTATTGATGTGTAATTATGTGCAATTTGTGTTGCAAAGATATATATATTACAATAACGAAAACAAAAAAAAAGAAAACATAGGTAGCATAATTTATGAAAATTGCAAAATCTAAAAAAAGGAATTGTAACGGTAAATGTTAAAGGAAATGATGGGTTAATTTTAGAAAACCTACCAACTGTGTCGTATGATACAGGTTCTAGCGTTGTTATAGCAAAAAACACGATTCAACACAAGTAACAAATACTTACACGTAGTTGTGTTGCTCACCAACTGTTCTGCCTCTGCAACCACATGAGTGACTCGACCAAATTTTAGCCCAAGCCCAAGAATCTCGTGGCCCACATGTCAAGAGTCAAGAGTCAAGAGCATTTCCTTTCACAACTTCAGCTTGGGTCTCCAGCTGTGGCTTAGCCATCGATCGATGCACTGCACATGATACCTCCCGGAGAAAGTTCAAATCAATTAGCAACAATTATTGGCAACAGTGGCTATACCACAGCAGCATCTGTGTATATGCGTGTTGTCATGTGTATAAATGTGTGTGTATATGTTGTCATTTGTCTGTGTTGTGTATTTGTGTATATGTGTTGTCAGGTGTGCTTCTCAGACAAATTGCATCTAAGCCTGCCTGATGGCCTAATCATAGATGTGATAGGTTCAAAACTGGGCTTCAAGGCCCACAAGCACCATGGTGCGCCTGTGCAAGCATGGCAGCAGCCGTAGGCGCTCTCCCTCGACAAAATCCTCACAGCAAATGGTGCATTGCACCTCAGGCATCGCTGCGGCATCGCTGCGCGAGTCCACGTCTACACGGTGTCCACGTGCGAGTCGACGGAAGTGTCCACGTCTGGTCTGAAGAATGCTGAAACGTCTGGTCTTTGCGGAGAAATCTGTGAAGTGGTGTTTTGAACAGGTCATGTTGATAGGGTCTGAAGCAAAGGGATGAAGCAAAGAGGTAAGGTTCCTTTAAAGGAAGAAGGCCTTACCATCGAATCTTGTTTATCTTGTTTTAAACATTCTAAAACCGTTACTTACTGCTACGTAGACTATCCCAAACTGAAAAGGCCTCGTTTTTCCTGCACGTGTGGTTGCTGTCTTTTGTTGTCATTTGTCTTCCCACTTGGTGCATCTCAAGGTGGGACCCTTTGGCAGAGATTAAATATACTACCAGTTACTACCAGCTGATCTAGCCAATCAAAGAGAGAGCTGGGGCATGCTGGGGCGCACATCACGTGCCGTTCAAATCAATAAACAGCATAGACTGCAGCATAAACAGCATAGGTCTTTTATCAGCATCTAGAAACCCTAAGTAGCGGAAAAAACAAACGAGAATAAGACGAGACCAGACCCAGCAAGAGGTAAGTCTCCACTGCAACAAACATGGAAGTGGACAACCCCTGCTTGTAGGATGTGTTTTGGATTCCGTGATTGTTGCAAGGGAGGATACGAATCCCACTGCCAAATGTTTGGAGAATTGCCAGGAAGTCCTGTCCCGAGCTAAGCTCAGAGCCTCTGTGGAAGTTTCACCTTGTTGAGGGCTAAAGCTGATCAAGGCGGTTGCACCGTCACTCACCTGGCCACACCAAGGACCTTCTAGTGACTTGTTGGTCTCAGCAACCATTCAATCAATCTCATGCGATCATCGGATTCTGCAAATAGCCAAATGGTATCTCTCCAAGTAACGAAAAAAATTGGTGAAGGGAAAGGATTGTTGTGGCAGTTTTTTTCTGAGCAACGAGTGAAACCGCTCTGTGAAAATCTGTGAAATGAACATCAATCAGGAGGTTGTTGCATGTTGCTGTCGTGCCATCCCTGTGCTCCGACCCAAGTTGGATCATTGGATCCACACAGCCTAATGTTTTGCGGCAGGTTTCAAGCCGAAGCCTCCCACCCACCACTAGTAAGTTGGAGGCCATCGCTAGTAGGTTGGAGGCCATCGACTCCAGACACGATCCGAACCCACGGCGCTTCCGGCTCAGCCTGCGGCGCTTCCGGCTCCGGCGCTGGTGGCCGAGAGAGGTGCGGCCGCGGGCGCCGCCGCGCGGGCGGCGCGGTGGGCGGGGCCGGCCGCGGCAGCGAGGCAGAGCGCAGCGTCCTGGTTCGGGCCAATGAAAACCACTGCAGTGGAGATGTTGTTTCTTTTTTCCCGAATGCGTAGCGAAGGGTTCTCGTTTAACTCTTTGGGGGTCTGGGGGTAGAGCCTTGTTCGCGAAGCGTTGTTTCTATGTTCGCAACCGTCCGCAACCGTCCGCAACCGTCCGCAACCGTTCGCAGCCGTTCGCAACCGTTCGCAACCGTTCGCGGTAGAGCGCTAAGGCGCTGCCATTGGGGGAAGCTTTTGCAAGTGACTATTCATGGATGTGTCACGTGTTAGTTTGCGACGCGAGTCCATTGTGATTTGCGTGAGAAGGACATGTCGCGCAAGAAGCGTGATGGATTTCGCTGCACAGGCGCAGCGTCTTGTGAGATCCGCAATTTGCTACGCAGTTCCATTGGGATTAGCGTTTGGAGAGTCGTGTTTTTGGGGTGTTGGATGTGGCCGTGCCATTGGGATTTGCGTTTCAGGGTGTGGCATCGAAGCTCTGTTTTCGTGACAAGTCTCAGCTGAAATGCCGATTTTGGACTCTGGGAGTGTGCTCAGAACGGGTTGAAATCATTCCAAACGTGTGGTGTGGTGCAAATTTTGTTGAAGCTCACATGAGATGACATTGTTACTTTTCGTGGCAGGCGCAGGACTTGGTGCGGGTTTTGAGGTGTGGAAGTGGGATTTTCGTGGCAGGCGCAGGGAATCGTGAGGTTGCGAGGTGTGACGGAGGTGACATTTCGTGGCAGGCGCAGTACTTTGTGCGCGATAGACGTGTGGACGCGGAAAGATTCGTGGCAGGCGCAGGGAATCGGGAGGTTGTGAGTTGTGGTAGAGGTGAATCTCGCTGTCACATTGGGATTGGCGTGTGAGTCGTTTGGAGGGGCTGGAATCGCGAATCTGCTTAGCAGGGCTGCGTGATGTGTGTGTGCTCCGATGGGTGTTTCCGCTGGACTTTTGGAGGAAGTCTCGTGCGAAACGTTCGTTTTGCAGACTTTGACATTGTGACATGTGAGTTTTTGCGGAAGTCTCGACTTTTGGAGGAAGTCTCGTACGAAACGCTCGTTTTGGAGACTTGACGTGTGACTTTTGGAGCAAGTCTCATACGAAACGCTCGTTTTTGAGACTTGACGCGTGACTTTTGGAGGAAGTCTCGTACGCAACGCTCGTCTTGCAGCCTCGCAGCGTGACTTTTGGAAGAAGTCTCGTACGAAGGGCCTGCCCTACAGGAGTGTCCCACAAGAGTGTCCTACAAGAGTGTCCCCCAAGAGTGTCCTACAAGAGTATCCCACAAGAGTTTTCAAGAGTGTCCCACAAGAGTGTCCCACAACTACAAGAGTGTCCCACAAGTGTGTCCCACAAGAGTGTCCGACAAGAGTGTCCCATAAGAGTGACCCACAAGAGTGTCCTGCATGTCCCACAAGAGTGTCCGACAAGAGTGTCTCATAAGAGTGACCCACAAGAGTGTCCCACAAGAGTGTGCAACAAGAGTGTCCCGTAAGAGTGTCCCACAAGAGTGTCCTACAAGAGTGTCCCACAAGAGTGTCGTACAAGAGTGTCCCGTAAGGGTGTCTCACAAGAGTGTCCCACAAGAGTGTCCCGCAACCGTGTCACACAAGAGTGTCTCACAAGAGTTAAGAGTGTCCCACAAGAGTGTCCTATAAAAGTGTCCCACAAGAGTGTCCAACAAGAGTGCCCTACAAGAGTGTCCCACAAGAGTGTCCTACAAGAGTGTCCCACAAGAGTATCCTACAAGAGTTTCCTTCAAGAGTGTCCTATAAGAGTGTCCCACAAGAGTGTCCCACAAGAGTGTCCTACAAGAGTGTCCCACAAGAGTGTCCCAAATGAGTGTCCCACAGGAGTGTCCCACAAGAGTGTCCCGCAACAGTGTCCCGCAAGAGTGTCTCACAAGAGTGTCTCGTAAGAGTGTCCCACAAGAGTGTCCCACAAGAGTGTCCCGCAAGAGTGTCCCAAATGAGTGTCCAACAGGAGTGTCCCGCAAGAGTGTCCCGCAACAGTCTTGCGCAAGTGTCCCACAAGAGTGTCCCGCAACAGTGTCCCACAAGAGTGTCCTACAAGAGTGTCCCACAAGAGTTTCCTACAAGAGTGTCCCACAAGAGTGTCCCACAAGAGTATCCCACAACAGTGTCCTACAGGAGTGTCCCACAAGAGTGTCCCACAAGAGTTTCCTACAAGAGTGTCCCACAAGAGTCTCCTACAAGAGTGTCCCACAAGAGTGTCCCACAAGAGTGTCCGGTGTGAGTGTCCCACAAGAGTGTCCCACAAGAGTGTCCCACAAGTGTGTCCCACAAGAGTGTCCGACAAGAGTGTCCCATAAGAGTGACCCACAAGAGTGTCCTACAAGAGTGTGCAACAAGAGTGTCCCACAAGAGTGTCCCGCAACAGTGTCCCACAAGAGTTTCCTACAAGAGTGTCCCACAAGAGCTTCCTACAAGAGTGTCCCACAAGAGTGTCCCACAAGAGTGTCCCACAAGAGTGTCCTGCAGGAGTATCCCACAAGAGTGTCCTACAAGAGTGTCCCACAAGAGTTTCCTGCTAGAGTGTCCCACAAGAGTTTCCCACAAGAGTGTCCCACAAGAGTGTCCCACAAGAGTGTCCCGTAAGAGTGTCCCACAAGAGTTTCCTACAAGAGTGACCCACAAGAGTGTCCCACAAGAGCGTCCTACAAGAGTGTCATTTGGACATATGTAGCTTTTCGAACGTGTTTGCATTCGGGTTTGTGGGCTCCATCTTGTTTTCTGTCTGTTTCTTCGGGGTTCTATACCCATCAATGTGGGATCATGAGTGTCTGGATTCCTGAAGAGCAAATGGTAGCCCGATTGAAAGCACAACAGCCAAAGCTGTGCAGAAGGGGCAGTTGGCCGCTAAAAGGCATCGGGATGACTAAACATTATATATATATAACTATATAATATTGCGAGTCAAGTTGCAATTGAAGCCTAATCAAAAATGCTACCATCCTGAAAGCCCTGATTGTCAGGGGCATGTTCTTAACGTTTTCCAGCATAGCCTGCAGCAGAAATGATCCCTCAACTGAATAGGCATGTGTTCATCATCCATCTTTCTGCCTGCTGGGCTGTCGGAAGGTTGCCGGAGCTTGCTGTGATTTCATCTTCAGTGGTTTGTCTCTGCCAGCTGTGCTAGCATGTGGGGCCCCGTGTGTCTGCAACTGTGAAACATCAAACCTAGTTGCAGGTTGTTGAATGACCATATTCCGAACTTTTTCGCTCAGCAAAGGTGACAACTCAGTAATCAAACCGCTGTTGTTGGCATCAAGTCCATGGTCGGTCCTGAGACCAGGACTTTCTCTCATGCGCCGGTTCAAAGTGCTTCGTCGCCGCCTACCGAGGGCTCTCGGCGCCGTCCGTCTTCTCCGCTTGCGCCGAACCGAGAGAAGCTAGCGGACCTCCCCCTGATGCCCTGAAGCTTGATCCAGTTCAGTTCTTCAAATGAACGTCTGAAGCCACCAACATCTTGGTCCTCTTCAGAACATCATCAGAAGCTGAAACATATGCATGACTTTCAAAGTAATCGACGCTCACGATGTTCACTTGTTCAGCGAATCGACGGACTCAGAACAGCAAATCTTTTTGTTCCAAGTCCACAAAGGCATGGGGTCAGTGAACCTGGATCTACAACATGCTGAACAGCAGGGAGTGTGGTCACGCCCCAGGTCTCTTCACGAGAACGGTCAAAGTTCGAGCACGACACAAACACTAGGCAGAGAAGGTCAGACCCAATTCACTTGGATCAAACAAAACTTCCCTCGACACAAAATCCCTTCTTTGCTGATCAACGAAAACAAACCACTTAAAGTGAATGATCGTCCGCACTGCACAAGCGCCGGTATGGCCTTGCCACCCCGAGGATGATCGTCCCCAGGGTGGTGTGGGCGGGATCTTTCAACCTGGCGACCGTCGAGAGGCGACTAGTCGCCAAAATGGCAGCGATTGATCAATCGCAATACGTATCAAAATTAAATGATCAAAAATAAAAGCTGAACACATTACCGAGAAAGTCCCTAGCATGTCCCAGACCAACCTACCCGTCAACATGCTCACGACTTTCAAAGTAATCGACGCTCACGATGTTCACTTGTTCAGCGAATCGACGGACTCAGAACAGCAAATCTTTTTGTTCCAAGTCCACAAAGGCATGGGGTCAGTGAACCTGGATCTACAACATGCTGAACAGCAGGGAGTGTGGTCATGCCC